GGTGACTGCAGCTCAGATGTGTCTGAGACGATGAGCATGGCACAGGATAGGACAGGGTTCAGGTCTGTTGTTCACAGAGTTGCTATGAGTTGTACTAGACTTGAGAGCACAAAACAACATCTTCACAGAAGCAGATTGGCAGGTCTTTCTATCATGGAGCTTTGTTCCTCCCCAAAGTGTACAGTGAGAATATGAGGAGTGAGAGGGCAGGGCCCAGTGCAGCCCCGCTTTCCACCAGAGTCAGGCATTCTGGTTTCTCCAGTTCTGAGACCCTTCAGCGTCAGAGCTGGGACTCCAGCCTTTGTTGCTGTCAACCCTTGACTAGGACTGATAGTGCTGGCCCGGGCCAGCAGGCACTCTGTCCTCTTCAGTGAGATGCCTGGCTGGTGCGCATGAGTTAAAGGGGGTGTGGGGATGTGTATGACTGCACGTGCACGTATGTGCATGCACTCGCGGTGTGTCTGCGAGTCATCAGATCCAGCCTGTTGAGAGCTGTGTTGATAACATCAGGAAATGATGGAAACAACCTCTTTCTACATATATAGCAGAAGTTGTTCCTTGAGGGTTTACTAATGGAGCACTGACATCAATGCGACCAGGGTTTAAACCACTTTTTAAAAGTCCTGTATATTGACTATAACATGGACAGCTAAGAGAACAAACAGATTTGTCCTAGAGAGGGTGAAACCAGGTTCGGAGGCAAGGATTCTGAAGCTTTGTCTCACATACTTCAGGCATATTGCAAGGAGAGACCGGTCCTTGGAGAGGGACATCATGCTTGGGAGGGTGGAGGGATGGTTCAGGAGATGAAGACCCTCAATGAGATGGTTTAACTAGCGCAGTGCGGGTAGATGTGTCAGAGACGATGAGGTTGGCTTAGGATAGAGCAGGGTTCAGAGCTGTTGCACATAGGGTCTCAATGAGTTGCAAGTGACTCAATGGCACATAACAACATTAATAAAAAGAATATTAACAGCTTTTTTGAGGCATACTTCACATGACATATAATTAACCCACTGTAAGATGGACTTAGAGCAGATTTGAAATGGTTTAATCAGGGCTGATGAAGATAAGGGTGGGCTATACTTGGCATAGCGACCAAATTGCATGCAAAGCCGATTTGGACCCCACAGTGACAGTGGTACTCTGCTCAAAGATAGTGGCCAACTGCATTGTTTGCATGTGTGCCCATTTGTTGTTGATGGAGTTCTTGGGTGGCACAAACAGTTAAGCGTTCTGCTATGAACTGAAATGTTGATGAGTTCAAACCCATCCAGAGGTGTCTTGGAAGAAGGGCCCGGTGATCTGTTTTCAAAAGCTCACAGTCTTGAAATCCCAGTTCTGCATTGACACGCATGGGATCACCATGGGTCAGAAGCAGCTTGATGATAACTGGCTTAGTTATTGTTGTTGGAATCAGAGTGGAGTGTGACTGGGGCCCACTCCCTCGCTTCCCAGCTTTTTGACCTTGAACTAGTCATGCATCATCCTTGACCTCTTTTCCTCATCTATGAATGTGTGGACAGTGTAAGGTAATGTGCACCATGGGATGAACCCTAAAAAGCATGGTGCCTATGTGGTTTAGGCTCATCATTTTCATCCAACTCAAGGACAGAGGACTGGGCAGGTGGCAGAGTGACTGGATGTCAGGGGCGGACTGGACTTGAGGGATCTCCTTGGTGGTGAGGGTGTCCGAGCCCTCAGCAAGCTTTTTCAGTATAAACAATGGTTCCTTCCTCCTCGTCTGCACTTTGCTCATGCTTAATATGCAGAAGGTCCCCTTCTCGTGACCTGATTACCTAGGTTGGATGGCAGTGTCCCTTTCCTCCCCGACTCCAGATCTGTGGAGTAGCGGGCTCAGCACTGTGCTAACCCCCATGACACCCACTCACCCTCCAGGCAGCAAGCTGTTGGCCCTCCTTCTACCCTGGCTCTGCCCCCCCAAGTCCCCCTCTGGGAAGAATCCTTGAGGAGAGGATCCCCTCCTAAGTAGCTGTTGATCCTAAGCTCCAGAACAACCCCCACCTGCTAGACAGAAGCCCCTTCCCTCCAGCGCCCCCATCTCCAAGACTGGACACACAGATGGGCCATTAGGATCCATTTGGTTGTACCCAAGATCTGGCTCCATGCTTGGACAATCTACCTGGGCAGCCAGCCAGGTGAGTGAAGCAGCTGAACATGGGGAATTGTCTGATGGACTGAGGGCTTCACTGGGTCATTTGTTTAACTCACAGACTCCTGAGCACCTCCTTTGGGCATTAGGTTTGCAGGTGGCGCATGGGTGCATTGAGCCAGCCATGTCTCCCTCTGCACCCCAGCTCTCAGCTTGCTCAGACCTCTCCCTTCTCCACAGGCTTCCTCCTGTGCCTGGTCTTCGCCCATGCCGTCTCCCCTCCTGCTGTCTGGAGAGAGCCCCCCCACTTCGTCCCATTGAGCTCATTCCCAGTGCTGCCTCCCAGCTAGGCCTTTCCCGGTGCCGTCACCCCTCACCTTCTCTCCCCTCGACTCCTGTATTTACTGCCTGGATCATTTATTTTGGCACTGAAGCATCTCAGGCCTCTTGTGGTTATTCAGCTGTTTTGTGTGTACAACTTGTTTCCAGCTAGGCGCCGAGCTCCTGGGAGGCGGAGAGCATGGCTGGCATTTTTTAATTTTTATAGCTCCTTTAATGTTTGGTGCATTGCTAAGCATACAGTAGCCAGTTGCTGTCAAGCTTACTCATGGCGACCCCGTGTGGTACAGAGTAGAACTGCGCCATAGGGTGGTTTTGGCTGTGATCTTGTTTATGGAAGCAGATCATCAGGCCTTTATCCCATGACTCTGCTGCATGGGTTTGAACCTCCAACCTTTCGGTCAGTCAGGCACCACTCAGGCAGGGATACCGCAGCCAGCTGCCAGTGTCCATTCTAACTCATGGTGGTTTGTGTGTGTGTCAGAGCGAAAGTGTACGCATAGGGTTTTCAGTAATCGCTTATTTCGGATGGAGATCCCTAGTGGAGGAGCTTTGGTGCTGTAGTCCGTAGGGAGCTGCACTGCTAACCCAAAGGCAGTGTCTCTTTGGTGGTTCGAATCCACCAGTGACTCTACAGGAGAAAGATGGGCAATTTCCTCCTGCGCAGTTTACAGTCTCAGAGGCCCAATGGAGGGTCAGCTGTGAGTCAGACGTCACCAGGACTCTCTTATGAGGCACCTGGGTGGACTTGAACTAGTAATGTCTAATCCAGAATCCAAACCCGCACTTAGTGACCCTCCATCGGACTTCTGAGGCTGTGGGTTTTACAGGAGGATACTGTCCATCTTTCTCCTGAAGAATTCAAGCCTCTGGCTTTTGGGTTAGCAACCCAATTGATTATGCATTATGTGGTAAAACTTTGTCTCATTTACTTAGGGCGTATTCGTAGAAGGAGCCAATTCTTGGAGATATACATCATGCTGGGAATGGTAGAGGGTCAGAGGTAGACCCTCAACAAATGGGTTGACACAGTGACTAGACCCTTGAATATGACTGGGGTCGTGAGGATGGTGCAGGATGGGAAAAGGTTCAGAGCTGTGGTCCTAGGTTGGTATGAGATGTAGTCGATTAGACAGCATAACACCATCAGGGCTTCTAACAACACTTCTATATTTATATATAATAGCCAATTGCTGTTACAGTTGTGCTGTTGATTTGCCATCAAGTTGGAACCAATCCTCCAGCTGATCCTCCAGGAGGATTTCAGAGGCGGTAGACTGCAAAGAAGAAGCTTGCCCATCCTTCTCCCATGGAGCAGGTGGTAGATTCGAACTGTGCCTTTGGGATTGCAGCACAGCTTCTTACCCCTAGGCCATCAGAGCTCCCCAGTAGTCAATTATATATAGTCATGTTATGTATATTAATATGGAAAGAGAGCGCTCCAGTGGCATAGTCAGTCGAGGTGGCGCCTTTACTGGTTCTAATCCACTAACTAGATCCACAGGAGAAAAGATGGACAGTCTCCTCCCATTCAGTTTACAGCCTCTGAAAACCCACTGGAACGTCAGCTATGGATCGGTTCTGCCTCAACAACAGTGAGCTTGAGTTTTTTTAATGAAAGGAAGGAGAGAAGGAGGTGACCAGTGTTCTGGGTTAGCAGTGCAATTCCCTACAGATTACCCTCTTGGCGAGTGAGCTAGAAGAACAGGCGAGATTAAGTGCTTGCCATTAGTTCTGATGACCTTGCAGGATGCGCCCTTGGTCTTGATCCCAGCTCCCTGATAGCTGTATGTAAGTCATTACCAGCAATGTTTTGCATCTGGCTCAGGGACCTTGAGAATCTTGCTGAAGTTCACACAGGGAGTTGGTAGAATAAATAGGCTGGGGACTGACCCAGGTGTCCCAGTGATGCTCCAGGTGCCTCGGCCTCTGTGACAGCCCTCTGTGGGATATCCCTTCTGTCCATCAGCATGTGCATGATTGTGTGCGCGCACGTGTGTGTGTGTGTGTGTGTGTGTGTCTGGAAGGAGGCAAGCGGAGCTGACAGTTGTCCAAGAGAAGGCTGCCAAGTCCACAGAGTAATTGTAGAACACGTGTGACTGTGTGTGTGGCTGAGGGGCAGGCTGTGCCTGTGAGCCTTGGTGATTGGGAGGCTGCTGGCCCAGGCCCCCTGAACTGGCCTGTCAGCACAGGTCAGCACAGGGCTCCTTCTGAGTCCCTAGCAGGAGCTGGGGCAGAACCACAGCACGCGTCCCCGAGGAGCTGTGGCCCCAGGATCTGAAGCTCGGATCTGGGAGAGCCGATGGGGTTACTGGTTCCACATGACCACTTCCTGGGGTGGCTGCCATGCCTGCATTGCCTCACTGACCCTTGGGGACTGCCCTTCCCAGGAGCCTGAGCATCAGCCGCAGTGTCCTCCCGCCCTCACAAGCTGGCTGTTTCTGCTCTCTTGGCCTCTATGACCCCACATTTGGGAGGGTTGGGAAGGGGCTCAGGAACGAGCCTGAGCCTCGAGCCTCGGCTGCTTCACGCCCACCCCGCCCTCCAGCCTGAGGAGCTCACCAATGCCCTGGAGATCAGCAACATCGTCTTCACCAGCCTCTTTGCCTTGGAAATGCTGCTGAAGCTGCTCGTGTACGGGCCCTTCGGCTACATCAAGAACCCCTACAACATCTTCGATGGCGTCATTGTTGTCATCAGGTACGTCTGCCCCACCCACCAGAGAGCATCTGGGGGAAATGGCACCGATGCAAATTAGTTTTAAATTTTGCATGATCACTCACAGCTGCTGATGGAAACTGCTTTTAGAAGTGGCTTCTAGAAGTTACTGTGGATGCCCCTCCTCAAAGGGTGCCCAGGGCTCATGCCATTCCTGTCATATTGTAAATGCCACCATGTTCTCCTGTGCCTCTTGCTTGAGGCCCCAGAATGCCAACAGGGGTGACTTGGGTACTCTATGACTCTGGGTGGAGGATCTTGGGCCCACAGCCCCACAGGACCCGCCACTGCCCCAGGATGAGGGAGACTCTCTACGTCCCCATGTTCTGCTCCACGCTCCGCCTCTGCCTGACCTTGCTCGCCTGCAACGTGGGCTCCCATCGCCTTTGGCCAGGCTCCTGTTCAATATCCTCTCCCCAGCCCTCTCCTTTGTCCTTGACCCTACCCCGGCCTACTGTGGGTGAGGATTGGGGAGTTGGCTTCAGAGAGGCGTCAGAGATGAGGCTGGGCCAGCTGTCACTGCTCACAAAGCGCTTGGAAATGGTCTGGACACTAACAACTTGCTTTAGGGTTTCCAAGACCTTGGGAAGCAGCTCAGTGCCCCCAGGCCCAGGGCCAAGAGAACTGCTTTATTGCTTTCTGGAATTGGCTTTAGATTTCATTAGGAGGGAACAAACCAAATATTCCATCATGGCTGGACGCTGTTGCATTGGCGGGGTTTAGGGAGAGGGCGCCTGCTGCCAGGAGGTGACCGCTGATGAGGGGTGGAGGGTGGGCTGGGTTCCCCAGGTCTCAGTTCGGAGGCTCCTGTGTAGAGGAGGCCGGAGGACCCTGCAGGGCCCATTTCCTCACACTGAGGCCAGTCCAAGCCCTCAGGAGCTGGGGAGTCCCCCGCAGGCTCTGACTCAGGCACCCCGCCTTCTTGCAGCGTGTGGGAGATCGTGGGCCAGCAGGGGGGCGGCCTGTCGGTGCTGCGGACCTTCCGCCTAATGCGGGTGCTGAAGCTGGTGCGCTTCCTGCCGGCGCTGCAGCGGCAGCTTGTGGTGCTCATGAAGACCATGGACAACGTGGCCACCTTCTGCATGCTGCTCATGCTCTTCATCTTCATCTTCAGGTGAGCGTGCTCAGCCCCGGCCTGGCTGGGACCTGGTCGGGCGTGGGGCCCCAGGCCTGCGGGGCAGGGCGAGCAGGGGCCCTGACCCCGGCCTGTGTGTGGCCCTGTGTCTCCAGCATCCTGGGCATGCATCTTTTTGGCTGCAAGTTCGCGTCTGAGCGGGACGGGGACACGCTGCCTGACCGGAAGAATTTTGACTCGCTGCTCTGGGCCATCGTCACAGTCTTCCAGGTGCCGAGAGGCTAACAGGGCAGGAGGTGCCGCTCGGGAGGCGGGTGAGCATGCCTCTGGGGCCTCTGGTCAAGGGCTTGATCCCCGCCCTTGGCCTCTGCTCCTCTTTCCCCACAGATCCTGACCCAGGAGGACTGGAACAAGGTCCTCTACAACGGGATGGCCTCCACGTCATCCTGGGCAGCCCTTTACTTTATTGCCCTCATGACCTTCGGCAACTACGTGCTCTTTAACCTGCTGGTCGCCATTCTGGTGGAGGGCTTCCAGGCAGAGGTAACCCCCTGCCCTTCCCTACTCTCCCCGAACCTGGTCCAAATAGTCTTAGTTCTAGGTGGATGCAATGGCTGATAAGCCGTGGTGACCTGTGCACTCGTGAAAGAGCACACGTCACCAAGCCGTAGACTAGAGGCCAGTGGCCCCGGGCCTCTGCATGCTTCTCACCTGGGAAGCAGAGTGGTTGTGTGGGGAGTCCAGCGAGGCCTTCCACATGCAGTTGGCCAGACCCTTCCCCACAGAGGCAGACAGGATCAGTGTCTGGGATTACAGGGCAGCTGGCCTCTGAGCAAATCAAAGGGGACTCATCTGAGCCAGAGATAGGGGTGGCTTGTGTGCAAGTCATCTGCACGCTGACTGAGCTGATGAAGATGCCACCCGGGCCCAGGCAGGGTTGAGCTGCCCGGGGTGAGAAATGAGCCCAATTAGCTGCGGGCATGGCAAAGATGAGCGTCCTATTTCCAGCCCAGGCTCTGTCACCTTCGTCACAGGCAGCGTCATCAATTAATATTGATTTACATTGATCCTAACCTCGTCCAGCCAGAGCACAGCCCCTGTCCAGTGGGCAGCACTCCTCGCCCCCAGACCCACTCAGCCCCCAGCACCTTGCACACAGCTGATTGACCCAACCTAGAAAATGCTCCAGGTTGAGTGTGGAGAAGCTCTTGGTCCAGTTCTCTCTGGGTGACCCGGATGGAAACTCCCGCTGCGGCCTGGTCTATAAATACCCAGCACACGGTGGAAAAACAAAAATCTATTTTCCGACTCCTTTCCCTGCCCTGCAAGGGAGGGCTGTTCCCCGTGGGCCGGGCCGGGCTGGTGAGGTTCGGCATGCCCGTCCCGCACCATCCTATCTCCCGTTTCAGTTTTAATTCTGTGCTTATCCATTAACACGTTTCCTCCCACCGGTGGCACTGAGGCCAACTGTGGGGGTGTCTCAGCCTGAGTTTGGTGATGACTGAGCTGCCTATTGGGACAATTACTTGGGGGTTCCTGGGCCAGGAGGTTAAAGAGTGCCACACCGTGCCTCAAAGAGTCAGGGTCTCTGTAAAGACCACTGCTCAGCTGCGACCCCCACCCGCTTTCCAAAAGGCAGCTCCTGATGGTTCAGGCTTCTTAAAAAAATTCCTTTGGAATGCTCCCTCCAATCACTGGCCATTCAGTCCTGGTAGTGTGGTCCTCAGTGGTCCTAGAGGTGCCCCTTCCCCACCACTCAGCCCTTCCAGAAAACACCTTGTTAAATTGAGTGCAGCTGAGCTGGTCCTGGTTGCTAGGCAGCAGCCAAGTCTCATTGTGGGAATGGAGAGCAGCCTGGCCTGGCCTGGTCACTCTGGCTCTGCAGGGGGCATGTGGGCTGCCACAGCCTGAGGGCCAGCAGCACATCCTCCTGAGACTCCAAGTACAAATGGCTGTCAGGTGGGAGGTCTTCTCCGCATGAGGCTGTGGAGAACAAGACTCAGGACCAACCCCTATTCCATGAGGGGTGGACATCAGCCAGGGCCCGTGTGTCCATGTGAGGGGCTGGCCCAGTCACTCCTCTGACCTGACTTGACCTTCCTGTGGGAGCTGGCCACACCTGGGCTGGAGGGATGGTCACTCCATTGGCACCTGCTCCTCCCTGTGCAGTTACGCAGGGGCTCTGAGGGAGACCCTGTTATCTGAAAGGGAAGTTTGGTTTTGCTGTGGGTTGTGTTTTTTCCTCAAGCAAGAAATCTCACCTCAATGAAAGAAGTGACTTCCCCCATTTTGTTGGCCTCCATAAGCAGTTGAGCTCAAGGGCTGCACCCCTGCTGGCCTGGCCACCCTGCCAAGAGGTAGAAGGGGTGGTTCCGGAAGGGGCCTGCTCAGCTGTTGATTACCGGATGGCAGGGGGCCGCGCCCTGAATCCCTGTGTATTCATCATGTACACACTTAATTAAATGAACAGGCAGCAGACCTGGTGTGAGGCCATTAATTGATATTAAACAACATCATAGCCACCATCCCAGACAGATCGATTGTCATGTGAAGGGACGTAGACTGGGACTAGGGGACGTCATGAGGTGCATATCCACTTCCTCCCCAGCCTCTGACTTTCACCCACTCCTTCCCACCTTTCCTGCTCATTTTCCAAGCCCACTACCCCAGTGCTGAGGGAGAAGCTGATGCTATATTCTGTGCTGGAGACTTGGGCCAACTTCCAGGTCTACCTCTTGCTCTCAGTGTGACCTGAGGTGGTTTCCTGAATTTTCTGAACTCACCTGTAAGGTGGTCATGGTGATACCTGCTTCCCACCTTGCGAGGATGAAAGCTAGCATTCGCGAAGCAGTTGGCGCCGTGCTTGGCACGCCTTCCACGCATGGCAACTGTTATGGTCCAGGCCATCGGGTACTCCATTGCCTTTCCTGCCCAATCCCCCAATTCTGAGGCCTCTGGCCTCACCCTCCAGAATCATTCTGGCCTTCAGGCCTGCGGCTGAATTCTGGAAGGCCTTCCGGTCCACGCCTCTCCACTTCCCGTTTCTCTCATTTGCCCCACTGTTGGGTCTACACCTCTCCTCATCACCATCCTCTTCCGAGGCCGAATTTGCAAGCCCGAGCGCTGGTGACAGTGCTCCTCCCCGCCTCCCCCTCTCCCTGTAGGAAATCAGCAAACGGGAAGATGCGAGTGGACAGTTGAGCTGTATTCAGCTGCCTGTCGACTCCCAGGGGGTAGGTACGCACTCCTGAGTCGGCATGCCCCCCTGTGCCCAGTGGCCCCTCCACTCCGCCTCCGTGTTTCTGTGCTCGCTGTTCACTCTCAGCTGCTGTGCAACCTGTGGTGGCCGTGGTGGTCGTTGGTGTTGTGAGGTTTGTTTGCTTTGATTTTAAGTCCCTTCCCCCTTGAGTACACACCAGGGGAGCCTCCTGGGTTCCACTCCGCTCACCCACAAAGGGCACCATTGTCCCCCCGAAACTGGTAGGTTGGCTAGAGAAGGAAGGGACTTAGAATCCTGTGTGTGTCCGTGCGTGGTGGCCCCATGTGTGGTGTCTACGCTGGGTCCTGGAGGAGTCTGAGACATCAGGCCTCAGTGGAAAGGCCTAGTGGCTGGAAATCTGCTCACCATCACTGTCCTTTGCCCGTTGTCCCTTGCCTGAGCCCCTGTTGGAGACCTCGCAGGCTGCCTCAGCTCAGGACAAGTCTTTGGAGGATGTAGGGATGAGGTGTGGCTTTTGCCAGAACCTACTAACATTCTAACTCGCTTTTGAGTCCCCAGCCCCTGACCCACCAGGGTACGTCAGGTGTATCAGGATGCGCTTCTTCTCCGGAGCCCACTTTGATCCTGTGCCCTGCTCTTTCCTGCAATGACACCAGAATTAGGGGTGAAACGAGGATCCCTGCGGGACCCCATGGTGCTCTGCATTCCGAGCAGCCCCCTGGAGATCCCACTGGATAATTAAAGGCCTCATTAGGGATGTAAACTGAGTTAATGAATAGGATCCCCTGAGATGCCAATTACGCAATATTTATGTCCTTATCAAAAGTAGCAATCAAGTATTTTTTTAATAACTTCTTAAGGAGAAGTGTGTAATTACTGGGGAACCTACTGACCTGCTAAAAGGAAGGGAAAAAACCTGCCCGTTAGACAGGGACAGACAGAAAGAGGAAAAATAGGGCTGGGGAAGGGGGCCAGGGCCTGGGCCAGATGGAGAGAAGAGCAAAGGCCTGAATAGTCCCCTTGCACTGAGCTGCTCCTGCTGAGGTCTGTCGTTTCCTTCCAGGATCCCCCAGGTCTGGCGTCCGGAGAGGGAGCTGTGGAGGGACTCCATGTAGGGGCTTTGTAGCCTATTAGAATTAAGGCTCTGGTGACCACTTCACTCAGACCCCAGCCCCTCCAGCCAGCACCACCTTCCAGCGGTGCTCCCTCCCAAAGCCAGCCTGGGCATCACCCCTGCCCAGGCTGGTTGAGCTGTGGGCTCCAGGGTTAGCCTGCTCTCTAAAGTGCGGCTGGTGGGAGGCAGAGGCGTTGGGAGCCCTGCACTGGTGCATGCTCTGTGCCGTGGTTGCTGGTTCCGTGGCCTATATGTGGTGTGTGCGTATGAAAAAAGGGAGCAGTTAGCCGTTCTGCTGTCTCCAGTACTCTGGCTAGGTAGGTCCCTGATTGCCCTCTGCTCCTTGGCTCTAGGGAGATGCCACCAAGTCCGAATCAGAGCCCGAGTTCTTCCAACCCAGCCTGGATGGCAATGGGGACAGGAAGAAGCGTCTGGCCCGTGAGTACCAGTCCTGGGGGGTGATCCCTGGGCCTGGGCTGGCCCCAGGTGGACTAGGGATACCCCTTTCCCCCCCTGCAGTGGTGTCCCTGGGAGAACACCCAGAGCTACGGAGGAGCCTCTTGCCACCTCTCATCATCCACACAGCCGCCACGCCCATGTCACTACCCAAGAGCTCCAGCACCGGCCTTGCCGAGCCGCTGGGCCCCTCCTCCCGCCGCACCAGCAGCTGCTGGTCCGCAGAGCCCGGGGCGGCCCACGAGATGAAGTCACCGGTAGGGGGCGCGCGAGAGCACCGTGGCGGGAGACAGAGGGGGCCTGGGCCAGGGGCTCTGTACCTTCACAAACCCCAGGGGAGTTGGTGAGGCCTGGCAGTGCCCACAAAAGGACACACTCCGAAAGCTGATGTTGTATGCCTTTGGAATCAACTCATTGTTCCAACCCTCAGCGGGTTTTCAGAGGCTGTAAATCACACTGGAGGAGACTGTCCATCCTGTGAAACAGCTGGTAGATTTGCGTTGGCAACACAACTGCTAACCACCAGGCCACCAGAGCTCCCTGGAGGCAAAAGATCAGGGTTCAAATCCAGCCTTTTCTGTTCGGAGGGATCTTGAGTAAGACTCAACCATTCTGAACCTCCACTGTAAAATGGGGGCAGTTCCACCTTCCTCTTCGACCAAAGTAAAATCAATTGCCAATCAATTTATTCTGACCTATGGCAACCCCATGCCTGTCAGATCGGCAGGGTGCTTTGTGGAATTTTAATGGCTGTTATTTTTGAAATCTTTCTTCTGAGATGCCTCTATACGGACTTGAATCTGTAACCTTTTCTGTATCAGTCAAGCATGTTAACCATTCACACCATGGCTAATCATAATAGCAAAATAACTAGGTAAGCAAGTTACTGACTGTAGACCAAACACAGTTCTAAATGCTGCTCATTAATCTATGTACATTTAATCCTCATAGCAGCCCTGTGAGGTAGGTTCTCTTATAATCCCCACTTGATATAAGCTCAAAGTCAAGTGACTTGTCGAAAGCTCTACACCTGTTATGAACCAGCATTTTAACCTTGGAGGCTGGCGCTTCATCCTAAGCTCTCACAATGATTTTATAATGATGCTCAGCTGGTTGTAACACCCACTAAATGAGGCACAGAGAGGTTCAGTAACTTGGTCAAGGTCACATAGCTGTGTGAACCAGGACCTAGACTCAGGCATCCACATTGTGTGCTCCTACTCGTGCCTGATGTAGTGGGTCCCAGGGAGCCTCACAGGAGATGGGATGTGTATGAGTAGTGCAGGGCCACAACGCTGGCTGACATCCCCTCTCCTCGGCTTGCCTCCCCCAGCCTAGCACCCGTAGTTCCCCACACAGCCCCTGGAGTGCAGCAAGCAGCTGGGCCAGCAGGCGCTCCAGCCGGAACAGCCTTGGCCGTGCCCCAAGCCTGAAGCGGAGGAGTCCGAGCGGAGAGCGGCGGTCCCTGCTGTCCGGTGAGGGCCGAGAGAGCCAGGATGAAGAGGACAGCTCAGAAGAGGAGCGAGCCAGTCCAGCAGGCAGTGACCGTCGCCATGGGGGCTCCCTGGATCGGGAAGCCAAGGGCTCTTTCGACCTGCCAGATACCCTGCAGGTGCCTGGGCTGCACCGCACGGCCAGTGGCCGCAGCTCAGCCTCAGAGCACCAGGACTGCAATGGCAAGTCAGCCCCAGGACGCCTGGCCCGGGCCCTGCTTCCCGACGACCCTCCACTGGATGGGGATGATGCTGATGATGAAGGCAACCTGGTGAGGTGCCAGTGGGCACTGTGACCCCCCTCTTCTCTGACACTGAGAGAGACAGGAGCTGACCCTGTTCAGGGGCAGGGCTGGATAACACACCCCCAGCTCTGTGGCATTCAGGATGCAAAGAAATTGCCAGTCCAAGCCCTAGGGACCTCAGTGTGTTCTGGGCCTGAACTGAGCTCCACACATTCCCCGGCTCCCTCTGCCCACCCCACTGAGTCCCAGCTCCTTGGGGCGCCTGGGGCTGTGGCTATGCCATCCCGGTGGATATGAATGGTTTTGGGCAGATGTGTATGAATCTTTCATGGCCCTCCCCCTGTGACTCAGAAGGACCCATCACTCATCGTTCCAAACTGATGGCCCCCTCCTGTCCCCTGTTCTCATCACGAGCCTCAACTTCACACTCTGTTCTTGCTCACTCACACCGCCTCCAGCCCCCTCGCCCTCTTTTGCTCCAGGGACGGGGTGCAGGGACCCAAGACCTCAGGGTTAGCACGTGAGAAGAAGGGGCCAGTATCACCTTGGCCCAGGTGCATCTTTGAGCAGACTGTAATGGGGAAGATGGTTGGCCACTGATGTAGCTTCCAACCCTAGGGGATAGGGAGGCTTGGGGGTGCAAGGAATGGAGAGGGTTCAGGAGACTAGAGGATGGAGATGGTTGGGAAGGAGGAGGGAGCAGCAAGGCTTAGAGGGTGGTGGTGGGTGGTTTCAGAAATCTTTGGAGAGGGCTAGGACGAGTGAGAGGGGGTCAAAGCTGTTGAGATAGAAAGTCAGAGAATACAGGAGGCCCAGACCCTGCTCACAACCTCTTTGTTCCTTCCACAGAGCAAAGGGGAACGCATGAGGGCGTGGATTCGAGCCCGGCTTCCTGCCTGCTGCCGGGAGAGAGACTCTTGGTCAGCCTACATCTTCCCTCCTCAGTCAAAGTAAGTGAGGGGGCTCTGACTTGAGTCTTGACCTTTCCTCCCTGCAGGATGCCAGAATGGTCCCTTGGACTGGGATCGTTATTGAGGGGTCTGGGCATTGAGGGTGACAGGAGGGTAGACCCAGGGCGGGTAGCTGACTGGGGGTGAGCCTGCTCATGCTGCCTCTGCCCCACCCCTATGCCTCTGCCTCTGTTCTGGGGCAGGTTCCGCCTCCTGTGTCACCGGATCATCACTCACAAGATGTTTGACCATGTGGTCCTCGTCATCATCTTCCTCAACTGCATCACTATTGCCATGGAGCGCCCCAAAATTGATCCCCACAGCGCTGTGAGTGACTGGGTTTGGAGTGCTGTGCAAATGGTACCAGATCCCTCCCTGCACTAACAGAGCAAGCAGGGGAGGCAAGAGGCCCAAAACCTTCCTTGACCTGCCTGGGGTCATGCAGCTGGAGAGAGAGGGAGCCAGGATTCTATCTTTGGGCTCCTGGCACCCTGAGATGCCTCCTGCAGTAGGCCCTGCTTCTTACCTGGGTAAAAACCAAGCTCCATTGCATCCTAGTTTATTTGCACTCAGCGTGTTCTGTGAGCTAGAAAAATGGAGGCAACCCTTGTGGGTGTTAGGATGACAAGGGAGCTGTGACGTGGGGGATGCAGGGGTTTGCTCCCTCACAGGCTAAGCATTCTTGCAACCCCTTCTCCTGATCATGGTTCTTGGAGTCACCTATTATTTTTGCATGATGAAGAGATTTCATGCCATCTTCTCCAGAGAGGAAATTGTTCTCAGCCCCGTGGTCCCCCCGGGTCACAGACAAGTCGGTTCTCAGATACCTTCTGCTCAGCTGTGGCATGTGGTCATTCTCAGAGGAGACAGGCAGCCGTAGCCGAGTATCTGACCTGCTCCACAAAAGCCTCACCTCCTCAGAATGGGCCCAGCTCCTCTGAGGGGCTGTGTTTCCCGAGCCTGGCATCACAGCCCTTCCCGCTTGGCGGCCATTCAGGGCTGGCAGGGTGGGTGGGGTGCCTGTTTCCTCTCAAGGCTTTTGTACCACTTGAAAGGGGGTTGTCAGAGGTGCCCCCACCCCTCCCTGCTGCCACCCACACCATTGTTTAGATTTAAGCACTGTTGCGGCATCTGTTTTCCATTAGGGTGGGCTCCAGGCGGACCACGATGGAGTTGAGGGGAGACCGAGGAGCGGAGGGACCCAGGAATAGGTGGCTAAGGGCCTGGGTGGCCGAGGGTGGCTAGTCACATACCCGGGCACCTCTTGCCCGAGGCGCTGCCTCAGAGCGCTCCATCACTGTCCCCAGCCCCCCTCCCTGCCTTCCCACCCAGCTCCCCAACTCCTGCACTGTCATCCTGTGGACTTCTCTCTCTGCCCTTTCTGTGTGTCTCATTCTCTCAGACACTCATGCTATGTCTACTCCCTCACCACCACCCCATTCTTTCTCTCCTTCTGCACCTCTCCTCCCGGTCTCCCCGTAGTCGACTTCAGGGGATTTCAGGGGACTGGGCCATGTTCATCCTGCTTTGCCCCAGCCCCTGACTACACATGGCCAGCAGATTCACTAACCACTCACAGGCCCACTGCTTGCTCTGTGTGTCCATTTCTGGAGTCCATCACGAAGCAGGAGCATCGGGCAGGGAGGAGACGAGAATGGGAGTCTCTTTTCAGGAAGGAATCAGGCTTGAGATATGGGGGGACAGCACTGTGGTGGGGCTCATCTCCTCCCCGGCCTCACTGCAGGGTGAGGGTGTCCACGGAGGTGCAGGTCAGGATAGCGGGCCTGGCCCTGCCGTGTGTGCGTGTGTTGGTGTGGGGGTGTGGGGTGTGTGTCGAAAAGGCAGGAATCCTCATTCTGCATTGACTACTGAAGGCAGCTTCCGTGCGCAGAACCCCTGTGGCCCCAGGAGGGTGGGCTTCTGGCAGATAACATGTGCCTCCCCTCTCTCGCAGGAACGCATCTTCCTGACTCTCTCCAATTACATCTTCACCGCAGTCTTTCTGGCCGAAATGACCGTCAAGGTGATGGGGAGTCGGTGGTGGTGTGGGGCCCTCTGGTTCCTGTGAGGGTGAAGATAGCAGACCATGCTGGGAATGGAAAGGGGGGTGCAGGGGGAGGGCCCACGGGGGAGGGCGGCTGGTGATGTGGCCCCACCCCCAGGTGGTGGCGCTGGGCTGGTGCTTCGGGGAGCAGGCGTACCTGCGCAGCAGCTGGAACGTGCTGGACGGGCTGCTGGTGCTCATCTCCGTCATCGACATCCTCGTGTCCATGGTCTCCAACAGCGGCACCAAGATCCTGGGCATGCTGCGGGTCCTGCGGCTGCTGCGGACCCTGCGGCCGCTCAGGTGACCGCCCGCCCCCGCCCGGGGGAGCCCCTCACATCCCAGCAGTGCCACCTTCAGGGGTATCTCCAACATCCAGCGCCTCTCAGCAGAGCACACCCCCTCCCCCTGCTCCCTGTCCACCATCCCCCCACCTCAGTGGTTAAGCCTCTAGCCACCCTGGCCTCCCCATACCTGCTCTGTTCCGCTCTGTCACATCACACGGGCTTGCTCGTTTCACATGAGTCGAAAGTCCACTCATGGCACATGACAGCCCATTTTCCTCCAAGAAAGGAGACACCCTCTCAGTGACACTCCAAGCAGGTCTTTTCTGCTGTCCTGTCTGAGGTACCTCACTTTTTCTTTTAAATTTATTTTATTTAGATTTCCTTTCATTCATTATTGTACATGGTATCTCACTCTTTTTTTAAAAAAAAATTTTATTCTATTTTGGATTTCCATTCATTCATTGTTTATACGGTACCTCACTCTTGAGGGCCACTGGCATGTGCTGACATGAAGCAGGCCACAGTCTCGGAGGCCGTGAGTAGGAGCCCAAAATCCTTTCGCCAAAGCTCTTCTGTGACTTAGTGCCTTCAGAGGTGACACTGTCCCTTCCTGTGAGATGACTGATTCCTCCTGCCTGCCTTTTCCCACCACAGCACCCCGCTCAGGGACCACCTCAACTGCCTCTATTTTTTTAATCCACATATCTGAGTTTTGTTCTCCAGCCCCTTCAAATTATAGCTAAATAATAAAATTTAAAAACTAAGGCTTTTAAAAGATAGATAGATAGATAGATAGATAGATAGATAGATAGA